TGGACTCATCTCCTGGGTGGGAAACCTAGCCGAGCTGTTTGAACCAGAGTTCCTCTCCCTGAAGTCTCCCACTGGCCTTGTGGTAGCTGTTTGCTGTGGACGTGACATTCCTTCTCTCGGCTGGCTGGCCTTGCTGTGGCCTTTGGCCCAAAGCCATCGGCCACTGTCCTTTAGCCCCAGACCCGCCCCTGCCACCTGTGAGCTGTCGATGGCACGGGAGATAGGAAACAAGGAAGCTCTCAAGCATGTATGTGGGAGCCCCACTGCCGGCTCCTCCGGCTGGGGGTGACTGAGGCGGTGGGGGGCAGCTCCGCACGACCATTGGGTTATTTCTTGGCCCAGACCCTGCGTGGCTCATTGGGCCCTGGCAGGAGCCAGCTTATGAAATATGTACCTTTCTCAACTGGCCTGCTATGGTAGCTGTCAGGTTTCTGTTTCTCTTGGCAGGACACTCAGACCCTCATCACGTTCAGCACTGGAGTGGAAGGTTCTGGCACAGATTTCTTAACATTGGATCCTTTATTTTTCTTCCCCGCTGCCCCTCTGGCCTTTAATTTACTGGGAAAAATTAACAGAGACTGTGCTGGACAGTTTTGCCCGGAGAAGGCTATCGGTATACAAGGGCCCCACTTCTGCCATGGACATCGGAGGAAAACAATCCTAAATGGGGCCTGGCAGTCAGAACAGGCCTGCTGGTGCACTTGGCATCCAGCGCGGGGGACAGGAGGGAGCCTGCCCAGCTGGTTGGGAACTGTCCAGGGCCACCTGTTGGGCTCTCTTCTAGACACGCCCATCCCACTGGGTGTGTGTGCGTGCACAAGGTACACACACGTCGGTCAGCGTGAGCTAGAGGGTGTGGGCCCTGGGGTCTAGTCCACATGGAGACAAACAGGCTAGTCTGTCCCCACCTCACCTCTCCAGTCAGCTTAGCTCAAGGGGCCCCCGAGAGGGAAGGCTGAACAAGGACTCAGCCACCATCGGAAGCAGGCCCGGGCAGGAAAGAGCGAGCAGCCACAAGATGGGCTTGCAGGACCTCTGTGCGTGGCCCAGCACGGGCCACCCGGAGATGCAGAAATCCAAAGTAAAACCAGGATGGAGAACAGGGCGAAGGAACCAGTACGATAATGGTTCATGGCTCCGATCCAGCTAGCAAGGGTGTATTTCATTTCCATGTCCAGAGTTTTTCAAAAGGTAGTAAGATTTGTGGTCTTGCTTGAGTTCCATCAGAAATCAAGGAAAGCCTATTTGTTACCACCCTCTGGTATTCAACATGCATTTACTTCCTTTCTTTTAATGATTAAAATGAAATGCACTGAAGGATGGGTTTTATTCACTCTGTGTTTCAACAAAACTCAAACAGAAATGGTTGCACAGCCCAGGGCCCACAATGGCAGACAGACCTACGACTGACTAACATCTGAGTACTTACCAAGTGCCAGGCACAGTTGAAGGACTTTCACACTTAGACCCTTATGCCTCACCATGGCACTTGGTGCTATCTCTGTCCTCCTGTTCTGCCTCAAGAGACCAGGGCAGTGTCACCCAGAGCGAATCCAGGAGGCACGGGGAGCCGGGGGCCTGACCCATCAGGCACTAGCCCGGGAGCTGCCGGGCTCCTGGCCCCGCCCAGACCCTGACGAAGCGACGAGGACACTCACCAACTGGTGACTGTTTGCCGGGAGAGCCTCCGAAACTCCAGTGGGGGCCTGCCCGATGCCGTCACTCCAGCCCAGCGTACAACTAAGCCTGCTTATCCAAACTTGTCCGGGAATGGGGTATTTGGCCACTTTGATTTCCATCTCAGGAATTAAGTAGAAAATATTTTTTGTTTATCCCCTTCCCAAGGAAAGCCTGGCGCTGTATTAATTAAATTAGTCCATGCCTTAATAACCCCACACAGTGAAGGGCATTCTGTCTTTGCCCATTCGTGACCTAGCAGTGCTTCTGAAGGGCCCGTGGTGTTTCCATTGTATGGCTAATGCAGAGGCCGGCAAACTTTCTCCCTACCCTGCGTTTCCTCCTCAGGCTACAGAAACTCTTGGGAACAAAGAAAGGCTCTGGTTTCATGTTTCCGGAGGCTGTCCAGGGCGGAGCCTGGCCAACAGGCCTGAGAGACAGCCTTGCTCCGACTGGCGTATAGACCTGCCTGGCAACCAGAGGACAGCCAGTGTGTGGTATAAAAATGGGGGTGGCCCCATGCCATCACCCTTGCTGGGGGCTTCAAAAGCAGGCGCTAGGCAGCCCTCAAGAGCGTGAGACCGCCACTGGGAAAAGGGAAAACACCATCAAGGCAGTCCTATCAAGCAGATGGCTTCCCAAGCCCCTCTTTTCCCCCACCTTTCTCCCAAGTGCAGCCTTAGAGGGCCTGACCTCACACCCACTTCGCTAATTCGGCTCAGCTGTGCCTCACACTTCCTCCAACAGCTTCTTTTTGTTCTCTGGATTATTTTACTTTTGGGAGTCAAACCTAAGTGCATGAGAACCATGTGGGAGAGCCTGTTGAACAGACGGGCTCTGGCAGTCGGGCCACAGTATGCTTTAGGTCAGAGAGGCAGGAGCCCAGAAATGCTTTTAACAAGCACCCCTGGGCGTGGCTCAAGGACCCTACTCTGCGTACCACCACCATGGGTACACCACCAGTGTCCAAAGCTCAGAGGCTCCGAGGAATAGCGGGAGGAGGGAACGGCAGCGCCTCGCTTGGGCTGACAGCAGACCTAAGGAACCCACAGGTGCCTCTTTGGTTTTAAAGAGTGTGTCAGTCCAGTCCTGGGGTCCCCTTGCTGTCTCTTTATTCACCTTGCCTTGGAAGGGGTGGGAAGCGTTTGTGGGACACCGGCATGTCCACCCTCACATACTGCAGGGAAGGCTGGTTGCAGGAGCGGGATTTTTCCATCTTTTGGTCAGCCCTGGTCATGTGCTTTGTGTAGCTCATGAGCTGGCACCTGGGTGCTCACCAGGGCCTGAGGTCGAGCACATTATAAGCATTATTTCATTTAACCCTCACGGCCACCTGATGAGGCTAGTACTATGATTATCCTCGTTTTATGGATGAGGACACTGAGGCTGGCAGAAGTGGCTCCCTTGAGATGAGCAGCCACTGACGGAGCCAGGATTTTGAACTCAGGCAGTCTGATTTCAGAACCCAAGCATAGAACGCTGTATTATTAGAAACAGAATTCTGCTTTCTTTAGTCCTAGGTCAGGGCTCCACCTCCACTCATCTACTCAGTCTTGTTTCTCAAACCTTTCCCAGCTAAGACGATAGCTCCGTGAGCTAATTCTTTGCTGAACTTGTAGCTACTCTACATATGGGGTCCACATATCAATTTTTAAAAACCGGGCCATTTAAAATACCCTCGTACTTGGGACAATCGTAAAGGTAGGAGAATACCAAGCTTACCATTGCGAAAGAGAAACAGGTGGCTTTCTACAGTACCCTCGGTGCTGCAGTGACCAGGCACATCACCAGGTTCCCCAGCTTCGAGCCGCCTGCCGCAGCGCAGCGACTCGCTATGCGAGCACCCCAGGGCCAGCCCTCGATGTGCTGGGAGAGGCATACCTTGGCATCCCAGACAGACTGGAGGAACCTAGCCGGGCCTCTCAATCGTCCCCTTCCGCGGGCACAACCTCCAGCTTGGGTCTCCTACCTTGTTTTCCTTTCCGGAAAGCTGCTTTCTTCCATCACAGCATGTAGTCAGGTGGTTCAGATCTTCCCAGGAACTAGGAGCCTCCCATCCGGGCCCTTTTCTTCCAACTGGTTTGTTGAAATTTTGAGGAGCCGAAAACTCAAGCCCTTGTCCAGCCAATATCCTGGAGCCGGGGCTGGCTCTCGGGGCCATCGCCCATCCTTGTGTCGGCTCGGCTGCCCTTCTCCCCGCTCCCCACCTCCCGCGGGCCCAGCTGCACACTCCTTCCACCTCGACGACACAGCTTCACCTGCAGCTTGCTCCTGAGGCCCACCCCTTCCCTTCTGAGCCAATTGTGTAGGAGATTTGTAATTAAGGCCAGATATACAAAGAGGTATAATAAACGGCAACAAAAAGAGGAAAGCATGAGACCTTTGAGGGCTTTATTAAATCACCTAACTTCATTCTCATTTTCTTACTCGTTTCTATTCCTGTCTTGGAAAGGAGTGCCTTTAATAAATGGGATGCTGTTCTCCCAGCATCCTTGATTTCCTAATCGCAATCATGGTTTTGGGGGTTTGGTTTGATCACGTTCCCAACTGCCTGTTGTAGAAACACGGCCTACCTATCAACTCCCATTAACCAAAGAGATCCTCTGAACTCGACATCCGGTTGACGGGAGCCCGAGCAGTACCATTCTAAAGAGAGGGACAAATCAAAGAACTGATTTAACTTCACTCCCTCCCTTGGTCTAGGAACAGCAATGTTTCCTGTCAGCCAGACAGGAAAACCAAAGCTGAGCTGTGCTCTGGCCATAAATTCTCTTCCTTTCAAGGTGAAACAAGTTCAGGCCAGTGTTGATCCCTAGGCCGAGTGGAGCTAACGTGATGCTGTGAACGAGCCTCCTGTATTTCCAGCCCTTGGCAGCTCTGCTGCCTCCCCTTACCGTGGTGGAACTCTCTAGAAACACAAAGGAGCTGGAGACTACCAGTCACCCCTGAACTGGGCATTCATTACCAAGAGAAACCCAAACCCACAGCTCTGGGCTACTAATTCCCCAAGGGTCATTTATTTAACAGGAACGGTCTCTAGAGATGTTGCTCTGGACAACCCCATCCCTGTTGGAACTTTAAAAGCTACTCTCCAATGAGCCAAGTCACCACCACTGTTTTACCCAGCCCCTGGCCTGACCAGCTGAGCTGAGCCCTTACAACAAGAAGGGGGTTGCTGTGACTTCCAGGAGCTCCAGATTCTGCAAGCCCACGTAAGTGGCCTCTGCCTTCTCTCAGCTTTCCCCACGGGCCCCGTGGCTTCCAGAGGGCTCTTCCCTTAACCATTTTGGTCTCTGCAAGGGCAAGAAGACACCACCACCAAGAAGGATAAAATAAGTTTTTATTTATAGTCTTATAGTAAAGGGGAAAGCCTTAACTTGCAAGACAATTCTTGGGCAGTATGTACAACATACTTTTTATTTCCATGGAATGGAATCAAACACGGACTGAGACTACAGAGTACACACTAGAAATCAGCAAATGCCAGGAACGGAGTAGGAAAAAGACAAAGAAATGAGGCCTAAACACACAAACCCCTTCACTGGGATCTGCTGACCGCAGCCAGGACCAGGGCTGGACCACACGACGGGAACGGGTTCCAGGACACGTGGAATGGGAGCAGGGTGGGGGCGGGGAAGGGTCCGCACGGGGGGTGGGGGGGTGGGGGGGGTGGGTTTAGTACCAGGTCAATTGCTCTTGGTATTTACATACAAAATCAGTTGGCTCTATTTCTTAGAAATACACACGGAAAGAAAGGAAGATTTGATCATTACTTTATGAATCTGCCGCTTTGCCATACCGACATCATCAGAAATAGGGACAATTCACTCAGATTCAAATTTCAGTAGCAGGAAATAAATATCAAAACATCATCACTGGCCCTCAATACAAAACCTCTCCCTGACCCGATCCTCCCTCCTTGTCCCACCCCCACCACCGCTCGGCGGCTACCACTTCACCGCTGCCCACTGCCCCCACACGTACCACACGAGTGTCACACGGCCCTCCCTAAGGCTGGCTGAGAGAAGCAGGAGTGAAACAGGCCAAAGACTGTGCTGCAACTCTGTCCCCACTTGTTTTTATACCACAGACTTCTTCAAGGATCTGGTCTTTTAATAGGAGCGATAAATAGCTTTTTAGAAAAAAAAAAAATCCTTTAAAAGAAGGGGATTAATTCTGATTATTCCAAACCGGTCATCTTCTTAAAGTAGAGCAGTTCACAGATTCACAAAGTCTATCAAACAGAGGTGAGGGTGGCCTGGGAGGAAAGGCCTGGGAGGGGCAGGAGTCCCCCGGGCAAGTGCCCGGCAGGGCTGGAGGAGCTGGTGGCTGGTCAGGACACCATGTGCTCGGAGGGCCGGCCGGCCGTCTGTCCTCCACAGAAAAAGCTGCCAAGTTGGGGTGTTTTGGTTTAAAAATTCCTGGTGGGGACAGGGAATCCCTGAAGGGAAATGTTAAAAAAAAAAACAAAAACAAAAACAAAAACCTGTGGAAATGGGGAAGGAGAACGAGAGCTGTTATCCAAGAGCTTCTACGTAAAAATAAAATTAAAAAAAAAAAATTGAAAGAGGGAAAAAAAAAAGTCTCTTAAATGTTTGTGAGGGTTCTAGGGATGAACTGAAAGGAGGATGGGACGATGGAGGAGACAGACAGTTTGTATTGCTGGCCTGCCCCGCGGAGCTTAGCTGGCCTCCATCCGGAGCTTCTTCCTGCTTTGGGGCTCTTCGGGCTCCGACTCCGAGCTGGAGTCTGAGCCTCCATCGAAGGCAGAGATGGTGCTGCCCTTGGCGTTGGTGTAGAGGCTGTTGTCTGAGGAGGGGTAGTTGGTCTGCAGTTGGGCACTCGACCTCGCCTTCTCCAGTGCACGGACTGAAAGGCAACCAAGCGAGCGGGTTACAGCCTTCTGGAGACTGGGGGAGTAACCAAGTCTCAGCTCAGGGTCCAGCCTGTTCTTCCGAAGGGCTTGCTGGCCCCCGAGGCTCAGAAGTAACACCCTTCTGGTGGCTGTTCCACCCACACGCTTCATTTCCCTCCTCCTTTCCCAGCCAGACCCGGGGGCCCAGTGGACATGGCCAGCCGCTCTGCAATGCCACCCAACCCTCAAGAGAAGGCTTGTGATGTCACCGTCCTGCCATGGAAGCCAAGTGTAGAGACAGGAGCCCAAGCTCCCTGTGGGACCCAGCAGTGCAGTGACAGAGGGGAAGCTGGCCTGGCCATGCCAGGCTCCACAAAGGGTGTGAAGGCCACACAACAGTAGGAAAGGATGACATAGGATGTGTCAGCCAAAGAAAAGTTTTGGCTTAGCTCTCTTGTACAAGATCCACTTGGAAAGACAAGCTGGACACTTGGAAGCAAGTCACCAATACACACAGAATACCTGGGCCTTTCTACACACAGCCCCTACATGCAGGCTGCTCGGCCCAGTAACCAACCCGTTGCCACCTCCCGCTGCCCATCCCCTGGGGTTCAGCTCATTGTGAGCCTGGAAGGTCAACCCGTTTATTTTAGCTTATTTTATTTTATTTTATTTGAGGTGTTCTAACCCAGGTGGTTACTTGCATTTCCTTTTACTTGCATCTTCCATGAGGGAGGAAGAGAAGTGAATTCCCCAGGAACAAAGAACTTGATCAGCTCTCGCTTTCCCCTGTGGTTGTAGGAAAAGGCGGGTGTGAGCATTGGAGAACAGCATGGGCCTGGCCCATAGGCTGCCCTGATTGGACTACCATTGACAACGGGGAGGGCTCACTGTCCCTGAACACCTGGAGTTTCTGGTACTTACAAAGCACACTCCAATCCAAGGACCTCAAAGCTCTTTTGAGACACCTGATGCCAGGTGTGACCCCTATGCAGGCAGAGCACCTGAGCCCCAAGAAGGGGAGAGATCAGGTCAGAAAAAAGTCTCCAAACGTCCAACCCCTAGACTCCACTGTTCCCTCACTGGCGGCTCAGGTCCTTCCTCAGGCTGGTTCTAACACTCAACTATTCAGGCCCCAGAAGCAGGGCTGCAGCTGCTTATGAGCACATGCTCCGTAACTGGTTCTGACTCTGCAGGCCCAGGTGCGAAGCGCTGACCTGGCCGGAGCACAGCAGGGCCAGCGGCCCCACCAGCTCAGGGGCTCACCTTGCTGCTCCAGAAGGGCGTTCTGCCGCTTGAGGTCATCAATGTCTTGCTGGTGTGTGTGGTTTTTCCTTCGCATATACTGGATATACTCTGTGGCTTTGTCTAGGATTTGGGCCCGGGATGCCTGTTGCAATAGAAGAAAAAGCAAAGGGAACAAAATAAAGACCTAGTCCAAGCAGTGAGGAAACCACGCCTTTCTGCAAGAGCAGCCCGGGGGGAATGGAAGCAGGAGGGAGGCGGGACAGGGCTGAGGAAACAGTAACTGCTGCTGGGAGCCTTCTGAACGGCACCGGCCCAGGTGCCGAGTGCTTTCCATGGCTCTCCTCACAGCAGCGTGCTCCGGGGCAACTCCACCAGGAACCCGAGGCTCAGAGAACCTTACTGGTTTATTCAAAGTCACCAGCTACATATGGCCGAGCCTGGATTCAAACTCGGATCCATCGGACTCCTGAACTTGTACTCCTCCCATCCCCTTTGGTTCTTTAGGCTGCTTTCGAGTCTTCAGCCTGGCTACGTCTGAAAACATTAAAATAGTACTTAACCGAGAGCTTATGCTGCCCACTCACTGCTAGGGAGTGATACGGGCAGCTGGGCCAGAGAGACAAGAGCAAGATCTAGGGGGAGCCAGCTCGGAACTGCAGTAGGTGTAAAGCTTTTCATCCAGGTCCCCAGATTTCAGACAAACCCTGACTGCATTAACATTTCCAAATGAGACATGCTGCTGTGTCATTATTTCAGCCTTCCTGGCTGCAGAGACCTTAGTGAAAGCTGTCCGAGCTTGATGTCAACACAGGAAGGGCAGGAGATTGGGCCATTTCAGGAAGCAACCACACCTTGACCATGGCCATGGGCAGCCTAAGCACTGCCCTGTTAGAGGAACAAGTTGATAAGCCATTAAAATGGATGTCAGGTTACCAGGCCCCTGGAGGTCCAACATGCCTGAAAAGAGTCCCTCCAAGTTGCAAACATGGCCAGAGTTACTCATAGCCAGGAGGCTAACCGGCCAAACTGGTAGAATGGTACAAAGCCCAGAGGACTGACACCCAAGGCAGGGAAGTCTAGGAGTTGAGTGTAGTGGCAAAGCTTCTTACTCAGGGTAGGGCAGTACCAGACAGTTCGGTGTTACAATCCTAGCGGGTCCTAAACAACCAGAACACAACAGGGGAAAATGGCAAAGAAGACATCTACACTCAGGCTAGCAAAACTAAATCCACTTGTATTAAATCCTGACAATCTCAATTTATATACCTCAGGCTGGGCTGTTGATCAGGGAAGTTTGCAAGGCCTGGATTTATTCACCACTCCTCACAAGTACCAGAACTTCCAGGCTTTCCTCTTATATAGCATGCTTAAGGCAATTTCCTCAAAAGGAAATTGTTCATATTTAACCCTTTTTATCTGCGGCAAATTATGTGCAAGGTACTGAGCAGACACTGTGGGGAAGCAAAATGTATTAGTCATGGCTTCTTTGGCCCAGAAACTAACTTACTATCTAGCTGAGGAGATAAATATATCTGTACCCAGACAAATCACAGGGCAGCCCCGACAAGTGTAACTTGAGTAGTACAGATTAGAAAGGCCACGGCAAGGATGGCTTTTGGCTGGAGCGATTACCTACTGCGTGCCAGGCACTGGCCCTGGCTGTGTGTGTGCATGTGCATGCACATACACACACATATGCACACACGTTAGACTGAGGTGACATCTGTGGGAAAGGGTCACTCTGGGCAAGGAGAGTAGCACAGCAGGGGTATGAGAGTGGAGACTGAGCCAGGTGTGTTTCTGGAGTCAGTCAGCTTCTGTAGCAAGAATGAGAGTACCTAGCAATGGGGGCTTGCAACCCCGGCTGCAAGGCTGCTTCAGATGCTGTTTCCCATTTCTGCTGAAGGGAACTTATTAGGATGTAATTACTAGGGTATAAATTGAAAAAAAGAGGCACATAACTAGAAAGGACTAATTAAAATACTCTGCTTCTCTGGATACTAGAGATGGAATTTAAAAGAAGTACTGTAGGATCGGTGGCAGAGTGGCAAGGAAGAGTTTGGCACCCAGGAGACAGGTGCGTTCTGGGCTCTGTGACCGCAGACCTAATTTTGCTTTCCGTGGCTATTTCTTTCTTTCTTTCTTTTTTTTTTTAAAGATTTTATTTATTTACTTGACAGAAAGAGAGCGAGCAAGAGCAGGAACACAAGCAGGGGGAGTGGGAGAGGGAGAAGCAGGCTTCCCGCGGAGCAGGGAGCCCGATGCGGGGCTCAATCCCAGGACCCTGGGATCATGACCCGAGCCGAAGGCAGACGCTTAACGACTGAGCCACCCAGATGCCCCTCTCCATGGCTAATTCTTATCTGACTAGAAATTCTCTCAGACTCCACCTAGCCCTCCAAATTCTATGTACCCCATCAATGATCTAGTTGCTATGCATATTTACATACCAGTCTCTCTTAAAGTTTGCCTATTTTTTTCAACTAACAGTTCCCAGAAAGCAACACTGCAAATGTTCAGTGATGATTCTTCTTAATGAATGACCACAGTGAGTAGCAGCCCATGTGCTACTAGATTCTTCTTCACATAGTCAGACATGAAACCATGAAGTGAAAGTAAGCAGTAAGCACAGCACAACAAACCAAAGAGGGAAAAAGATCCTGCGAGTGATGGAAGTTTCCATTTCAGAGCAGTTTTCAGATGAAGATAAAATTCACAGATGCTCAGAACACAGAGGTCCCCAAAGAAGGCTGGATTGGTATAAACCCAGCACAAGGCCTCCAGAAGGCTAAGCACAGCCCTTCCTCCATCCCCTGCTGAGAGCACAAGCATCCCAGGCCACCCCTTAGCAAGTCCAAAAGAATGGTTCAATTAACTTTATTTTGCCCTACCCAGAGTACTCACCAAGTAAAATCCAACAAGAAAAAAAATTTAAAGCACAAAATACAGAATTCCCCCAAATCTACATGCATGTCTAATCCCGGAGGGTGAGGGGTGGGGCTGGAAGCAAACTGTTGAAACTAGAAAACGCTAGACAGATATCTAAAGTCCCCTCTTCCTGGCTTTCCAAACCATGAGATCATGTGCCTAGCCACAGGATTAAGGTGTGGTTAGGCCCTTCTGTGCCTTTAGGAGTTTCTGCTATGTGAACAGTAAACAAGAAACAGACAAGAACCTTGGGCTTTTATGGTTCGGATTGTGGAGTGGCCCCAGGCTTTATGGCAAGGACTATGGAATGGCCCTGAGCTTTCGGTTTCTGTTTCTGAAATGCACTGTTGGCGGAGTCTTGTGTGTGTGTGTGTGTGTGTCTCAGCAGATAGAACTTGGTAAGTCAATGTGTCCACAGATGAACTGTTGCCTTTGGATACCTAGTAAGGATCCAGACAATTTTTTTCCTGCTAGTTTTTACAATCAGGAGGCACGAATTCTGAGTCTGCCTTTCTGAGCAGAAACCGACACAGCCCTGAGACAGCACACACTGTGGCTGAGGGGACAAAGAGGTACCGGGCCTCTTTCGGAGCAGTGTGATTTAATGCAAGTGGCTCTTCAGGCTCCTGCCCCACCTCTGGGAGCCATGTGAAAGTTCCCCGGACAGCCTTGCCCAGGTTCTGTTCCAAAGCCATGGCCGCATTATGGCGCTATAAATGATGGTGAGGATAGTGACGGCAGCAGCTAACACTTGCTGGGGACTTGTTAAACGCCAGGTATCTTCATACAACCTTCTGATGTATTATTTCCCCTATTTTATAAGTGAGGAAACTGAGGCACAGAGCTCTAACTGGCTTACTTGTAGGTAGTGGAGTCAGGATTTGAACCCAGGCCCTCCAGGACACCTCTACTCTGGGAGCACAGAGGAAGCTATGGAAAAGATCCACAGAACTGCACCGACAGTGTTGTCATAGGAGAGTCTGAGCAGGAGGGAAAGGACAATGAAAGGGTCACGGGATTCGTCTACAAGGTGTCAATAAAGACCCAGGTGAGGATGGTTTCCTTGGGGTAGTCAGAGTTTAGGTAAATCATCCTCGCACAGGTAATGAGCGTAGGGATGAGTTGAAGCTGAAGGCTAGTTTTTTAGAATTAGGTTGAAAAAGTGAGAAATGAGGAAAAAAAAGTAGCTTGTAATAATAGCAGCCATTGAAGGAAGACTGTTTCTCTTTTCCTTTATAGACAGGTGAAAACCAAACAGGCTTCCAGCAGAGACGCAGCAAACAGAAAAAGCCTGAGGATACAAGATAGCGTGGGGGAACGGGGGAGAACGGCCTGACCCTGGCCCCCGGGGAGGGGAGACACCGGCTTCCCACAGTGCTGTTGGCTTCATCACCTAACAAGGGCACGACCAAGATGGCCACAGAAGCCCCGGGGGGGTGTGGCTGAGGTGCCCAGCAGGTTCCCGTCCCGACTCGGGCTCGTAACACTGCTCCTTGCAGTGTGGCATCCCTGCCCACAGCAACAAGGAGACAGAGGCAAGGGCCAACCCAGCCTCGAGAGGCACCCACTTGAATGGAACTGTACTCGGGAACACAGGGCACCCACCTCATGTACAGCAGCAAGAAATGACGACATAGTTTACAAAAGGACCCAAACCCAAGAGCTGGATTCTAATTAGAACCGTGAAGTGGTTAACTGATGTTAGGATGAAATCCAAGGTTACTAAATCCCACTGGAGATAGTAGATCTCAAAATTTTTTATCTAAGGCAAGAGTTCCACACGTTTCTGGAGATGTAAATCTTATTATAGTAATCTGGATTTGTGTAAAAACTCACGTTGTTTTAGAAAGCAGGTGGAGAGAGGTAAGGAAGAGAAGAATAGTGCTAGAATGTTCATGTTAGGAACACCACTGCTGTTCGCTAGGGTCCTAACCCAGACTCGAGAAGTAATCAACTTGCCCATATTTCACTTTTCCTCCTCACTGTCAAAACCAGATCCGACCAAGCTGATGTTACCACTGCCTTGTTCCCGCAAGAACCAAAACGCCATATTCTGGGGAATGAAAATAGAACTACCGCCTGCCTCACTAACTGACATCTGTTTTGCACTACATATTTTAAGGAAACATAAAACCATTATTTTCTGAAACCTGCACAAGCTTTTATACATATTAAGGTAAAGAGAAAGCTAGGGCAAAGCCGACATACATTCCC